CTTCCATCATCATCTTCGCCAGTCATAAGTACTTAGCGTGAAAAACAACAAGCTTACAGCTTGTTTTATGGCTGTTCTGCAATAGCAGATATAAGGATGTATAAACCTTTATATCTGGATCCAAAATCGGATATTTGGACCCATAACCTTGCCAGACGGGGAATTGACGGCCGACACCGTGGGAGAAGGGCAACCTCAACGTCAGAAAGGCTCGTCAAGCTACCGAAGCATGGTCGAACATGCTCTTACGTGCTAGCTTCAATAATAACGCCGGGGCGTGGTGGCACAGTGGCAATGAGTTTGGCTTTGAACGCCAGGTGCCGCCTTCGAATCCGCTGATGGGTCAACTTTAATCTTAACCGCGAATTCCTCTAAGCAAGGAATTAATCCCACGTTGTTTCGGCGCAACTAGCGCAGAAACGGGTAGCAGGTCGGTAACTTGCGAATAATTGGCGCAACGTGACATTCCGAGGTGTTCGGCCATGCTGTTCTTTCCTGTCGCACCGAGTGGCACCCTTCGCCAGGACCCATCTAATAGCTAATAATCAGCACATGGTGTAATTCAAATTTCGACCTCTTAAGAAAAAACTGTCTACCGTGAAAACAAGGAAACTGTCTGCAGACATTACAGAAGAAGGCAACATAAGTTAAACACACCCACATAGGCGGTAGGTTAGCTAGCAGCTTTTAGCGGCCACATGTCGGATGATACGGTTAGTAGCAGAGTGTCAGCAAATGCTGGCACAGCGAAAACACAGCTACGAGCATCGATGAACGAAAACAATAACATCGACGATGACTCGAAAACAACAACAACGACAAAAATCAGAAGATACTAGAATAAAAGAAAACTACTAACAGAAGCTGCCTGTTTGTCGACGTCCTCGGTACATCCGGGTAGTTTCCGCGTTCGAACACTTCACAAATAATCCACTTTTACTTTCAACGGCCAATCTCATTCCAGTGAGAAAATCGCTCAGATATACCCAGGGCAATGACAAACAGTCAGCTTTTGACTAACTTCAGAGAAACCGATCCGCCAGGCGAAGATCCGCAAGCGCGTGGGATAAAGGCCTAACCAAGCACAAACCAGTAAGCACCGAAACGCAGACAAAACGCGAGGTACGGCGCACCAGTGACGAGGTAACGGATCGCAAATTAGTCGCGAAACGTCTCTCCAGAACACGGAACTTCAGAACAACGTACAAGCAACCGATGTCCGCCACAGACGCAATTCTCAGGTTAGTCGCGTGATAACGGTTCTCGGGGCTACGTTCCCTATCATATCCCAATCGCTCCCTATCACAGCGTTTTGTATTTCTCGCGCAAATACAAATCGTACGCAATATTTATGATGCATTTCAGCTAAATACAAATCAAAATTTCAATTTCAGGCAGCCGTAGCAGTGCAATTCGGTCGATAAAACCCGTTGTAGTGCGGTTACGTTACAGTACAATTCCGTTAGAATGCTGCTTTATACCGTCACGACTACTCTGATGGTTTCCGCTTCTGTTTGAAAAACAATTATTGGTTTTATTTACGGTTTAAGCCTTGTATTGAATTTAGTAAACGATTAAATTAGTTATTGCTAATTTAAATGCATGGCGCAGACATCACAGAGCATAGCTGTTTTGATAAAGTCTCCATCCATGACAGGTAACTGGCGCTATTCTACTTTTGTGAGTGAGAAAGTTACACAGCCGTGCAACATAACCGGCAGAACGACAGAATTGTAAAAATGAGTGTGGGTTTGTTTCCTGATGATGCCGAGACGTCTTGGATGAAATGGAACGTGCATCAATTAGTGCTCTTTCTCCGCTAAATCTCTCCAGTCTGGTCATGCCGCCTGATGTCTCCTTCCGAATAAGTGTATTGATCAACTTATTCCATGTTTAATTTCTGATATACAAATTTAAAATTACAGGAGCATTTTTATGGAAGATTCAAAGAAATTAATGCACTGATTTCAAAATTAAACTTTGTGTACGAATTTTTATTTATTCGCTAGTCAGAAGAAGTTCAAATGTCATATTAATGAATCGCTTGATGCTGTTTTCAGTACGATATAGGAACCAATTATTCCATCACGTAGTTGCAATGACCGGTTGTATCAGAAGATTGCCACTTCCGCGTGCGGAAATAATCAAGGGGCATGAAATGCGTACGACATTAAAGGAGTTGGGGTAGGAAGAATTAAACGTTTGCGGTTAAGAAAGCTCGGACGGAGTTGCAGAAATCATGTAGGAGTGAATGACAGAAAGTTTATCAATAAAAAGTTGTAAGCTACAAAAGACTCATGATCATTTATATTTACTCTTTTTACTCAACTGATTCATACACATCTCATTTGAGTCTTTTCGTTGGAAAGAGAATTGCAGGTGAACGTCAGTGCTCTCAATGAATTACAAGGCAATCTTTCTTACCGTTTGAATTCACGAATAGCCCAATTCAAAACGGGCATTAACGGTTTATGGGACATTTCTAGGTCAACACGTATAACAATATCTGTGATTTCTTCATGCAGGTGAAATTATTTTGTATTTCATAGAAAGCATTGACGTGAAAGAATGTTTCCATTTTTCTGAAGAGAAGGTCTGTTAAAGGGGTAAACGGTGACTTAATAAAATGGTAAAATTTAGCAGTTGCAACTTTCAGTTTTTTCGCGATTGTATCCTTATCGTAATTACTTTCACTTATCATGTGGTTTGATTCAATATTTTAATTTTTTGTCAAATTACATGGAAAATCCCGAAACATCATGAGATACGTGAATATTTCGTTTCGTTTTGCAAGAGGATACATGCGGGACTAACATGCTGTCCGCAGGAGAATTGTCTCAGTGGTTCCGTGATGATTGTAGAGTTCGCCACGTAAATGTCCCTTCGCGTTTTCTACTCAACACTGGTCTCAACATTATTATCGAAACTGTACTGACCAAGGCAATGACGAAGTTCTGGTTCTGCAGAGAAAGCGTAGTTAAAGATATCCTGCTAGATACTTTATTGACATAGAGAATAGAGATGATATTACTTCTGTGCGTGATAAGTGATCAGTTTTCGTCCTCTGATGGATTCCGTACGCAACATATCTGGGAAAACCGTGCTGTTTCTTAATACTCAGAAGTCTAAATCTATTAGCAGCAAACCAGCAACAGCTAAACACCGATCGAACAAAAGGGGAAGCCATAGGAAAAGTCCACAAATATGAGTGTGTCGACACAATCATCTCAGCAGTAGCACAATCAAATGAGAATTAATTGCTATGATCGCCTTTGCTTCTAGTTTTTTTCGCAACCTCTGAAAAGTCTCGTCTGAGAAAGGGGTAGCTATTTCCAACACAATTCGTCAGCACCTTGCTCTAATAAAGTCGGACAGCTGTATGGTAAGGAAAGAGTTGTTCTTTCGCAAAACGAAGAACTGCGGTTGAATGGTATATAAAAAATTTGGCTTCGATTCATAATAAGGATCAAATGTTATTACTGACCTTGTCCTATTCAGGGCATAGATGTGCACTGTAGACGGCGAGATTAAAAAAGAAGATTTGGCAGAAAGACAGGTTAGAAAAACAGGTTTAGCACAAGTTATTTATTCCATCCTGCGAGCTTCTTGTACTGGAGCCAAAATGGTGAATGTCGAAAGGGGAGGCTTGCAGGCAATCTGGAGATACGAAGTTAAACGAGATTTGCTCCTAGAAGGAAACTGCTCTTTGTACAATAGTGTATTCATTGGTATATATGGAAAAAGATGTAAAGTTGAGAATAAGACGGATATCGCAAAATAGATACGTTTTGCTATTTGCACACGGTTCCCAGCTGAGGACTACACAAACCAAAAAATGTAAATCAGGGACGAAATGATGGTTTTACCTGAGAACCAATTGCTACAGTAGTGCTGTTCATGTTTATGAACGCTTCTTATACGGACGATGAAACATGCGATGGTTGAGGTTTCTGAAATCTGAGCCGTCGTATTCTGAGAGGCTACGACGGATCGAGGTTGAATTGGTCAACACTGAGCATAGCTTGAAGAGCATCCTGTACGATAAGAAGCGGTTTTTTGGATATACGTGCATCGTAACCGGTTTTACTTTCACATGCATTGCGATTTATGCGTACTTTTCGTTGCTGCCGCCAAAACTGGGTGATTTATGTTTATGGCTGATGGTCGTCGCCTTCTGCATGACCTTCTTCTACCTAATGAAGGTGATGTTTTCGTGGTACTTCAGTCAGCGGGTTGAGTGGTACCAGCTGCACTTGGAAACGTTGAAACAGGAACGCATAGACTTGTTGCAAGAAGTTCGTGAAAAAGAGACCTATCATGTGGCTAAGGATCTGATCGATCGCTTCGATCCAGAGGTATTGTGTTGTATGCAGCATCGGTAAGAATTCGAAACGCGTTGAGACTGATGTAACGGTGCTAATCGATCGTTAAACCGGCAGTCACATGCTGAGTTTTCAAGTGGTCACGATGGTGTATGTGTAAGAGACATTCGAACCTAGGAGCATTTTTTAAAATGTCATGCTTGTTAGGAATTGAGTAGGTCACTCACCCACGTAAGTTAAGATATTCAAATTTGTTCAGGGGTCAAAGAAGGTTAATCTTGAAGCCCATCCCGTAGCAAGAAGATTTAGTCGCGATAATTGTGAGCTCATTTTGAATTCATTTAAATTCTTGAAACGGTTTCGTCCTCATTGGTGAAGTTAGAAAGAAGGTGCGAAATAGCAGCTTCCTTTGAAATTGATTTGCAAGTCAACTATAAAACATTTTTAAATCGCAAGCTGAGTGTTTTTCACTGGTGTGAGGGTTAAAGTTGGTGGAGTGAAACTCGCAAACGCTGGAAAATATTTTCTGTCCTCTGCTACTGCAGCTGGAAAGGAACTTCTCCGGAGTATGATAATGTCTGCTTAGTACTCCAACTTGATTAATAAGCATGGTACAATGAGTGTACAGGCTGTTTACCGGTGACCAACACATCAAGGCAATGCAGTGAACAACTGGTAATATCAATATGCGAAATGTGGAGTTGAGCAGATAGCTGGTTTGGGAATGGTGGTACAATGAGTAAAGGGTTCAATTTCATTTGTTCCGGGTTCAGAGCCTCTGTACGACACAGAAAACTCTTTCTAACTGCCCATTCCTCCAACAAGGAATTCACTCTACTGTGATTCGGTGCAACCAGACGAGAAACGGGTTGCAAGTTGCTGACTTGGCGTGTGTGCGCAGAGCGGCAGGGTTATTAGTCACAGTTTTGACGGAAGGAAACCAAGTCTTCCAGTAATTATCGATTAATCACGATTTTATTCATTTTAAGTAAAGTGTTTTTGAGGTTATCTCCGAAAGAATGCGAATTTGATTTTCCAGTTTAGTACCGTTTATTGTTTCACTGTTAATTACTTTCAGCCTGCTTATGAGTTTCAGAACTGATCTGTCTGACTTTAAAATTTTAATTTTTTGATTCTATTTAGAATTGCGCTTTCGTTGTACCGTAACGTACGATTTTTGTATTCTGCAGCACTTGAATAATTTATCCATTTTCTACCATGAGAAATATCACATTTAGGCGTTGTACATTAACAGTTTCTATAACGCACTGTTTGAGTTTTCGAGGATAGTTCAGTTTGTTGGTCTCAGTGCCAGCAACATGTGAAGTATAGAAGGTCGTATGTTATGTGCGATGCTGCTATTCCCATGGCACACGTGTTGTGTTTCAGGCGAAGGCCACCAGTCGCAATGTAGACGACGACAATCGTCTGAGCGATTCTCGATCGAAGAGCAGACCTCTGCTTAG